TCTGGGCTCAGCCCTATAGGAGAAGGGGTTCTACAGGGGCTCTGGGCTCAGCCCTATAGGAGAGGGGGTTCTACAGGGCACAGCCCTATAGGAGAGGGGTTTCTATAGGGGCTCTGGGCTCAGCCCTATAGGAGAGGGGGTTCTACGGGGGTTCTGGGCTCAGCTCTATAGGGGAGGGGGTTCTGCAGGGGCTCTGGGCTCAGCCCTATAGGAGAGGGGTCTATGTGCTGTCCAGGGGCACAGGAAGACCCTGCAGGGGACGGGGTTTGAAGGGCTCAGGGAGGGGAATGAAGCCCTGCGGTGCCCGGGGCTCTGCGGGGGCTGGGGGTCCCGGGGGGACACGGTGTGGGGACGGCGGTGCCACCGGGGCTGGAGCTGCTGCCCCTGCCCGCAGGTCGCCCGCAGTGGATCCGCGAGGATGAGGGGCCGGATCCCGGCCCTGCTCTGCCTGACCGTGGCCTTGGCATCACTGGTGCCCGCGGCCGGAGCCCGCCGGAGCCAGGACCTGCACTGCGGAGGTGGGGGGACAAGGGGAGACGGGGGGGCAGGGAGGGACCAGGGGGACAGGAGGTGATGGGAGTCAGGGCCGGGGGGGCCGCTGTGATCTGTTCATCCCGTGGCTGCACTCCCCCCTGCTTGGGGACAGGCCCAGGGTCTCCCCACAGACCCCTCCTCGCCCAGCCCTCCCAGTCCGCACCAGTCCCTCCCAGTGGCTCCGTGTGCGTCCGAGCTGGGACCCCCCTGACCCCTGTGCCCCCCCTCAGCGTGCCGGGCACTGGTGGACGAGCTGGAGTGGGAGATCTCCCAGGTGGACCCCAGGAAAACCATCCAGATGGGCTCGTTCCGCATCAACCCCGACGGCAGCCAGTCGGTGGTGGAGGTGAGGAGGCATCTCCCGGCGCTCCCGGTGCTCCCTTGTCCTGCCCCGGCCCCACTGACCCTCCCCGGGGCCCCACTGACCCTCCCTGGGGCCGCAGGTGCCGTACGCGCGCTCGGAGGCGCATCTGACGGAGCTGCTGGAGCGGGTGTGCGAGAAGATGAAGGAGTACGGGGAGAAAACGGACCAGGCCACGCACAGGAAGAGCTACGTGCGGGTGATCTCCCACGACGGCACCAAGATGAACCTCTCCGGGGTCAAGTTCGACGGGGACGTGACTTCCAGCCTGAAGTTCGCGGTGTGTGGGGGGGCCCTCGTGGCGTTTGCTGGGAGAGGGGCTCCCCGGGGGTGCGTTGGTGTCACCGGTTCCCCCCGGGCTCCCCGGGGCTCTCTCGGTGTCCCTCGGTGTCCCGTGACCGCCGTGATTCCCGTTGCAGTGCGAGAGCATCGCTGAGGAATACGAGGATGAGCTCATTGAGTTTCTCTCCCACGAGGCTGAAAACGTCAAGGATCGGCTCTGCAGCAAGAGGACGGGTGAGCTGGGGGGTCCTGGGGGGGTCTCTGCTGTTCTGGGGGCTGTGGCTGCTCTGCCAGGGTTGGGACAGGAGGAGCTGCAGGTTCTTCCCAAAATCCCGGTGCTGAGGTGCTACTGCCAGCCCAGTGCCCAGACCCTGCTGCTGCTGCTGGAGCTTTTTTTGGGTGCTGGGGCCGAGCCAGGGCAGCTGCTCTGTGGCTCCATGGCCTCTCCTGGCACAGCCCATGGCACCATCTCCCGTCCCGGGGGCTATTTCCAGCTCACAAACAACTGGGTCAGGGCACACC